TTATGCTGTACGCATTTCCTTCCTTGATGCCTTCTTCTTGAGAGTCTCAATGAGCAACCTCCATTATTATCAGTCCTCTGTGTGTTGTGAGAGTAATCGGAAGGGTGTATCATCCGGGCAGGTAACTACCCCGACGACAAAAGTGTGTTTTTACTCACGATTATTTCAGTCCCTAACGGTGCATAAAACGTTCCATACTCACGGCTGTTATGCATGCATTGAATGCGGCCAGAATCCTCTGGGCACGAGGCCGCAGGTGACCTGCTGAGAATGCGTTGAGGACTCCTTGACATGTTTGAAATTTGTCCTTGACAGCCTCATTGTTTTAGGGAAGTATCTCACGAGTTGCCGTCGTGTTAGGGGCCCCGAGTATTGTTTCAGGCCGATTACTACGAAGGTTTTGGTGTTTTACACTCACGTGCAGCTTGTTCTCTCAAAAGAAATTGTCGAAGTCGAAATGGTTGTCCGTGCCGGATCGTTCTTCTTCTTCTTGTGCTTCACTGTGTGGATGTCATCGATGGTCTCCAGCGACTTCTGGCAGCTATTAGTGTGGGTGCCTCGTTTTTGTAAACTTCAGTTCTTGTTGGAGTACGAAGGTAAGGTCTTTATGTTGTGTGAGGAGTCGTCCTCGTAGCTTTACGCTCCTTTACGATTGTTTTTTCAGGTCAGTTTGTAATTGCCTGTCTAAAAATATAAAATACCAAAAACAATCTTATGGATAGGCATAGGGAGCTACTTCGCCAGATGTGCCGTGTTAGTGGTTGTAAGTTTAGTAATATAGCGAAGAAAGGCGTCTCTAAGAAATATGCTGTGTCGGATCATATTACTGAGTTAGAATCTTGTTTTCCAACTATTAAAAAAGACCAAAAAAATGCTGATGTATATCCTGAATTATTTTGTGCGTCATGCATGGCAGTTGTACGACGGTATAAGAATGCTCAGGAGAATAAAGAGAGGTATGCAAGGATTAGTGGGTGTGTGTGTGGGGGGGGGGCAATGAAACTGTGGGAAGCACAGGATAGTAACTGTAGTGTTTGTGGGTCGGGTGTGATTGGACGACCGTCCAAACTTGCAAAATGTGAGGTGCCGTTTGCAAAGCCATCACCCATCCCCATCAGCACCACCCTGACTCCTGTTGACAATGTCACCGAAGAAGCGACTGGTAGCTTGAAAACTGGTTCTGACCTTGTCCCAAGTCGCTTTCGTGAGCAGCATGAACAATAATTATTTATTAATGTGTGGCATTTGTTCGTTGTTTGTAGACGCTGCTCTGGAAACACCATGCTGCAAACATTTGTTTTGTGCGAAGTGCATTTCATGTTGGCTGGAGCAAAGCACGAAATGTCCGCACTGCAAAGATGCACTTTGTCTAGATAATTTAGTGTCACCACATACTATTGTGGCTGACATCATCAAGCAGTCAGTCTTGAAGTGCGATTTCTACGAGGCGCCGCTAACAGGCTGCCCAGTGCAGGTGAGGCTTTGCGACCTAAAGAGCCACGTTGAGAATTGTTCTCACAACTTCCACCGATTGCAGTGGTCGTACTGCACGGAGACGGTCATCCATGACGTCCTCCTTTACACATTGCAGGAGAAAGTGTTAAGTGATCTCTGTTCTGCACCCGCACATGTCATCTCCAAGAGAGCAGAGGCTAGTGCAGAAGGTGCGAGTGCAGGACAGAGAGATCAAATGACGTGTTTGGTGCAAGTTCGGTTCTGTTGTTAAGGACCGCTATGTTTCATTATTTTCTAAATTTGCAGCTTGTCATGTAGGATTGTCCACCAGTGTAAGTCCGAATGTTAACTCGCTCTCACAACTGCGTGCCAATATTTCTGCTTTTCTTGCAGCTTGCCGCAGGAAGTTGTCTCGCGTGGTCGTGGCAACGTCACACCAAAGCTTCACCTTCTTGAGGCCCATGCAGTCAGCTGCTTGGAAAATTTACAAATGGGCATGGGGCTACTGAATGAGCAGGGGGCAGAGTCCATCCATGCTGCCTTCAATCAGCTGGAGCGAAATCATTCCTCCATACGAAACACGGCTAACCGGCTGTATGCATGTGCACAAGCACACATCTTGAATGCGCTGCCACAGCACACTCTGCTTCTGCCACGGACGCAGAGACGCAAGCGTAGCAGAGAGCCCTGAACATAGCACTAGTACATTCCGACGACCACGTGTGTTGTAGTGCGTTATTTTGTGTGCGTCGTGTGTACGTGGTGTTGGTGCATGCGCGTGTTGCGGTGGTGTGAAAAGCAGTCTTCGTTATTACAAGACGACTACGGAAAAACAACTGGACATGACGAACTCAAGACGAAGACTGCTTTTCACACCACAGCAACCTGGCAACACACGCATGCACCAACACAACGTAAACACGACATACACACAATAACGTACTACAACACATATACACGTACTACTACTACTACTATTGTAGCTTATTTCCAGCCTGAGGTTGTTGGTGCACAGCAAAATTCCATCCTCTGTGCTGTGCCAGAGCTTCAGTTTGTATCACTGTGGAAGCGTGTGAGTGGCGGGTTTCCTCAGGCTGGCAATTCGCTGCATCACTGCAATATGCTTCTACTGTTAGTGTTATAGCTCCAAGCAGTGACTACAGGTACCGGGTATTGAAGCTCGAGGAGGGCAGGTAATAATCACAATGGTCATGCTTCGTACGATTGGTCGTTCCGAGATCCTGGGCTGACCCCATGTGTTGATTCCATAGAACCAGTGCTGCCAGTGTCCCTCAACTAAACCGGCAGTCCGTTCAGAGTTTAGACAGATGAAGCACTACACCATCTACTTTTATTTCTGTTCAAAATATCCAAGAAATCACAAAGTACAATTCCATGAACGAGATGCTTCGAAGACGAAAACAAATGCAATGACAATGTTCAATGCTCCTTTCCAAAAAAAAGAAAAAAATCTTAGACCTAGATTCGAGTCCACGATCAAAGCGGCGCTTCATTTTGCTCGCGTGACTCCAGCGGCCATCTTGGATTCTGGCCGCGTCGTAACAGCCGTGTACTGGACGTTGAAACAATTTTCTGTAAAATGATCCTTTCGAAAATGCATTTTTACCGGTCATCTTAACCCTTTGTGGGTCTTACTCAATGTACGTAAGGGTTGGTCATGCAAACACGCGTACGAACAACCAGCCATAACTCAAGTTCTGTGAGTTTGGGTAAACTATGTATGGGTAAACTACATGTTCTTCTGAGGGAGGCAAGAAGAAGGACAATGGGGTAATTATGAGCAGCACCGCACCGGCGACTGCAAGTGGTGAGAAGGTTATGTGACGGCTGATGGTGAGAATTTTGAGAGGTAGTACTGTCTGATGATCGGTTAAAACCGTGAAACTCAGAGTTACAGAAGAAACGCTTTTCATCCCTCTCAAGTGTGTGTATGGGTAAACTATGGGTAAACTATATATTTTCAAAATCTGTATGCCTGGACGAGTCCAGAAAACACAAATATGACTATGTCCAGGCAAGGGTATGACCCGTGGTAGCCCTTCAAGTTGAGAGAAAATACAATTATGAACAAAAACCAAAAAATCACAGCACAAAGTGCATACCAAGTTTGTGATGAGGCTGAAGTCCTATGATAAACAATCAGGTAAGCGCTACGTCTTGGTGAAGAAAATATGCTCCTAATTCCGTCCTTGAACTCCAATACCTCGCCATCGGCGATGCACCAGCAGCAACAGTTCTACAATATCACAATTTTGATTCGTTCACCTCAGCGCCGCTCGCATCAGATTCACTCTCGCTCAGATGAGTACTCAGGCGCGATGTCACGCATGCCGTGATTCTCACGGCCAGGCGAATCAGCTGATCGCACCTGACAAGTCCTTGTAAGAGTTGCTGTTGCTGTGCTTCCTCGCTGTTTGGTAAATTTGATTTCTTCATTCGGGGACGATTTATTTGAGCAAGGAGGACTCAACGGAGCTCTCTTTCTCACCACATTACACTGGAAATACTCCAGGGACATCCAGCCTAGACTGGTGCCGTCAGTGTCCTCAGAAAGCTTTTCTGACACGGCCTCAAGAGATGCACTCCCATTCTCGAAATGCGCACATGGCGGATGGTCGTCTTTTCCAATTTCACCAGACTTCAGTCGATTGATACTGCAAAATGTATATGGTAAGTATGGTTGTTTTTTACACCGTTGGAAAGCCTTGGACCTCAGCTACGCATGGAGCACCATTTTAGTTGTCTCCTAGCAACAAAACTCACCGAAAATGCGATTTTACTGTAAGGTTCACATACGACCCTTACGCTTATGTGAGACCCATAAAGGGTTAACAGTCTTGTCACGACGTTGACATGATGCTCAATGTCTTGAGATTATTTGCAGTACACGTCATGGTTTGTGTTCTCTATCCCGGTTTTGTTTCCGCGTTCCCACACCGAAGCTGGGCCGCGAGTTTATTATTTCTACTGACTCACTCACCTCTTAGCTACGTCCTCCATGTTTTTTCCTGCCTCTTTTCTCTCTGCGCAAGCGCCTTGCGCATTAGTCGTCGTCTTCTTTCAGTTCACAGCAAGAACAAGAATTATTTACCTCTTGTGCAGTGTCAGTCAAATTCAGTCAAATCAAGCTCTCCCGATCCCAAGAAACTGCCTGACGTGTGCACACGTCTAACTGATATCCACGCTAGCTTTCATCCTATGTAGAACATTATTTTCCATCCATGTATACACAACAGAACCCGGAGCACCACCTCCCCAAAGGATTTCCCTAAAAACGAGAAAATAAGCCAAGAATTGAACACGTTTGAACCAATTAATGGCTTATGAGATTCATTGGACATAGATCACCCACCCATCCACCCACCCATCCACCCACCCATCCATCCACTCACCCATCCCCCCACTCACCCATCCCCCCACTCACCCATCCACCCACCCACCCATCTACCCACCCATCTACCCACCCACCCATCTACCCACCCACCCATCTACCCACCCACCCATCCACCCACCCATCCCCCCCCCACACACAAAAACAGTCATACCACTTCCCTGGTCAGGTTTTGTGGCGAAACAGGTGCGTCCGACTTGACTTGTCTCTGCATGCATCTGAAACATATTTCCCAGGGATGGGAGCATGAAGAGAACAGAAATATGTATTCCCAGCGAGGGGAGTATGAGAAAAACAGAATCAGAAACAATGTCACATGTGAACAAGGTCTCTGGCAAGTGGTCCATAGATGGTAAATAGCCAATTTATGTCGTTTTTCGTTGCTGCAACAAGCTTTCTGGGAGATATGTTTCCAGTTTAGATACCAGTAAGGTGTCATATATCCCATATCAAATTTTGAAAAATCACTTTATCTCACATGACGTCATAAATTATGATGTCATCATGACGTCATCGAATTTAGTCTAAACTTCCAGATGCTATAACTCCAGAACGGTTGCTCAGATCAACCTCGGACTTCCGCAATTGGAAACAGTCGATTTTTCCCTACAGGTTCTGAAATTTTGATTTTATGGTGAACTTCCCCTTTAACCCTTTTAGGGCCAATGAGGTATAAATACGTCATTGAGAATGACGCCCGTCCACTTATGACGTATATATAGGTCATGAAAACACTACATCGCGAGCTGTCCAATACTGCACCCGTTGACTAGATGTAGAGTGCTAAAGTGGATGGCTGTCACCCGCACGTGGGTGTGCGTCATCTGCAGGTCGAACTTCGCCCGTAGGCCGCGTGAACGCGGCCCAGGGAGTCCTTGAGTACAATGCAATTTTCAAATTTTGACCATTCCAAATTATCGACATTTTCGTCGGGTCGCTCACATTTCGGTCATGTCGCGACACTGTGCTTTCTGTGGTTTCTTTCGTGTTTACAGTGGAGAAAGGCTGGTGGGAGTTCAGGCCCTTACCACCCATTTGATGGATGTGGCCCACCTGGGCAAATATTGGAAGGGCCGGCAAGTCGGACTGCTTCTGTACTCCGACTACCAGGACACCGTGGAGCGTATCAGTATCCTGATGATGTGTGAAGGTCTGGGATCTGCATAGCTCAACTCACGATGTGTGCAGTTTCCGTGTCCGACACCGTCGGCTCTATGACGGGCGCCGTTGAGGTAGTACTCGATGCTACCCCGTCCTATCCAAGCAGGTTCATTAAAGCGATGAAGGCGACCTCCATAGCACCAGGCGGACTCCCCTACTATCAACAAGAGCTGATCCGTCCTCCCGATGGAGTCTACCATCGACGTGCCAAATTTCTTGCTGCGCTTTTTGATCTGCCAACTCCACAACAGTTCTTATTGGCGTCCGCCTTTCTATTAGTAAAGGACCCGTGGTGAGAGACCACGACCGGTCGTCCAAGTCTACACCGAATGTATCAGCCATATCTATTTACTGAGAATAATGTAACAACTCCTCCACAAACGCTTCGACAACTGACGTCTTCTTCATCCTGGGTTTTTTCCTCTTGGTGGTTTTGGATAAGAGTTGAAAAGTCCAAAAGGTCAACTGATGACCTTTGCATTACTTGGTATGATTGGATTTTAGCCGATGATGTCGGTATGCAGCTGGGGAGCGAATTCGACAGGAAGAAGGTAAAGGCCTTGCTTTGCGGTTCACACCTTCACTTCAGTATCATTACATTTACAGTATGGCGTTCACTTGCCACTGCGGTGTGGAACTGACAGGAGTTATACCCTTGTTTCAGCACCTGAGGCGGTGCGTCAAGCGCCGCCTCTTTCTTATAATATATTGTGACAAATGGTAAGTGTGCAGTGCTCCTAGCTTTCTCCCCCAACAAAAGAGCTCTATGACACTGTGCTTTCTGCGGTTTCTTTCGTTTTTACAGTGGAGAAAGGCTGGTGGGAGGCCCAGCCGTGGTCGCCCACCTCACGGGTACGGCCCATCTAACCCGTTACTGGGAGGGTCGGCAAGTCGGACTGCTGTTGCAGTCCGACTACCGGGACGCCGTAGAGCGTATTAGGACCCTGTATTGTATATTGCGATACCTGGTAAGTGTGCAGTGCTGACAGCTCTCTCCCCAAACAAAAGAGCTCTATGACACTGTGCTTTCTGCGGTTTCTTTCGTTTTTACAGTGGAGAAAGGCTGGTGGGAGGCTCAGCTGTGGCTTCGCATCTCGCGGATGTGGCTCACCTGAGCCGTTACTGGAAGGGCCGGCAGGTCGGACTCCTTTTGCAGTCCGACTATCAGGACACTGACACTGTGCTTTCTGCTGTTTCTTTCGTTTTTACAGTGGAGAAAGGCTGGTGGGGGGCCCAGCCGTGACCGCACACCTTGCAGATGCGGCCCATCGAAACCGATACTGGAAGGACCGGCAGGTCGGACTGCTTCTGCAGTCGGAATACCAAGACGCTGTGAAAGGTCTTGCTTTGCGGTTCACACCTTCACTTCCGTATCATCAAGTTAAAATGGCATTCACGTGTCATTGTGGGGCTAAACTGACAGGGGTAATACCCCTCTTCCAGCACTTGAGGCGGTCCATCAAGCGTCGCCTCTTGGTTATTTTATATTGTGATACTTGGTAAGAGTGCAGTGCTCACAGCTCTCTCCCCCAGCAATAGAGCTCTATGACATTGTGCTTTCTGCGGCTTCTTTCTTGTTTACAGTGGAGAAAGGCTGGTGGGGGTTCAAGCCCTTGTCATCCATTTGATGGATGTGGCGCACCTAACCAACTATTGGAAGGGTCGGCAGGTGGCCAAATATTGGAAGGGCCGACTATTCAGCCACTGCTGGGTAAGGGATACCAGTTGTCCATCGACAACTGGTACAGCAGTATTGAACTGGCATGCTACCTTCCTGAATATGCATGGGCCAGGTAACCGACTGCGAGAAGAGTCTCATTCGGAAGTTGACGTGTGTGAACGGCTACAATCTGCATCTGGGAGGAGTGGATTGGAATGATGGCATGATCTCTTTGTATACGGCCACTCGCAAGTCATGTAAGTGGTACAGAAAAGTGGCAACGCACATTCTGGAGCAAGGTATGAACAATGCCTATCTCATTTACACATTTCGTTCTTATAAAAGCCCGGAAGACCGCGATTGGCCCATATTTTGTAGTCCTTTTGACGCTGAGTCGACTGGTTTTGGTCCGAAAAGGCTGGGATGTAGCGTTCGGTCCTTATTCCCAATCGAACATGGCGTACACCAGTCACCTGGTCACCGTGCCTGCAGGCTGCAACTTACAGCATGTTTGGGCGAGTTTCTGTCACTCGAGTTGAACCTATATGGATGTGCGGTGAAAACACCTAACTAAGGACCCCCTACCACTAAAGACCACCTACCACTAAGGACCACCTACCACTAAAGACCGCTTTCTCTGGCACCAAGGGGTGGTCGTTAGTCATAGGTTTTACTGTATGCGATGACACTTGAAAATGCGGTCACCTGCGAAATGCGAAATGCGGACACTAACACGCGTGCCCCATAGTACTGTGTTTAGGTAAGATATATTCATTACACTGACGGTATCCCAACTCCTTAATTACCAGATGTTGTATGCCTCCATCTATCTCCTTAGCCTATCCTCGATTAACTGCTCCCTCTACATAAAGTTTTCATTTCATTCTTCTTGCAGGAGATCCCCTCGACAGGCCCAAAGCCTTTGGGAAATCCTTAAATATAATAAAATACAAATACAAAGTGTGTTGCACTGATGTCAGCCTGGCAAATGCGGACATACTGGCTGGTGCACCAGGGTTCATGCACTATGTGCCATGTGTCATACTATCTTACAGGAGTGTACACTAGTATGTGGCAACCTCAGTCCTGGATGGGATCATGCTCATGTACATAAAGCACCTACTGGAGACGTGTACAGTCAGACCTCGCTTAACCGCACACATCCCTTTTCCACCAAAAAACACATCCGGATAGGCGAGGGAACCGGATAATCGGATACACACACACTGTATGTATTCATGACATATGCTGTAAATCGGTAACCAAAGATTTTCCGCCGAATGACGAGGGATCCGGATAACAGAGGACCGGATAAGCGAGGTCTGACTGTACTGTATTATGATGGTTGCATCCATTGCAACGAACAAAATGACATACATACTGTATGATGCTGGGTGCAAGTTGCTGAGAATTGAGGACATCTGTAAATTGAGGACGTGTTCAAACTGTGAATTGGACAAGGGTTCGTCGCTTTATCACGAAATTCCCTATATCATGCGAGTTCGTTAGAAGTGTAGTCGAATGTAGTAAGGAAGCGAGAGACACACCCGCAAAACGGCCATCCCTATTCTCGGAAAAAATATTATTTTTCTCTCACTTCACCCCGAGTCTACAAGGAAAGAAGGGTAAAGGTATAGTTTAGGGTCCCAAATTATTTTAGTGGGTCAGCATGCTCTACAGAGCCCCAGGCATGCACATTACACACACGAGACATGCATAGTACAAACAGGGCATGCGCAATGCACTCGAGGTCAACAAGGTCAATGCACTCGAGCCAGTCGAGGTTAACACGACAGCAGCTAGAGTTAAATGGAAACTCACCAAGTTGTGGTTGAGCTCTGAATGCTCCTAATTATTATGACCTTGTTGACCTCGACTGTCTGGTGCATGCCTTGTTTGCACTGCGCATGCTCTGTTTGTACTATGCATGTCTCGTGTGTGTAATGTGCATGCCTGGGGCTCTGCATGCTGGCCCACTGAAATAATTTGGGACCCTAAACGATACCTTAACCGAAAGAAGTAGTTATGCTCGATAAAATCCGATCCAGAGTGCATTTTTGCGCCCTCCACTAGCACACCCTTGACGCCCTGAAAGTAGCACGAATGCGGCTGGAATTTGCATATGTGCAAGTACAAATGAAATGCAATGTGATCGGAACCAGTCCAGGGCACCGCCTTTGCACTCCGGGTCGGATTTCACGGAGCTCAACTGTATGATGAACTCACTGCTCAACCAACAGAGAATTGCTCGCCAACCTCAAGTACGAAACGTATACCGAATCCTCTTACCTGATGCGTCTTCCCAGAACGGCCATTCCCAGAGCACACGCTGAGCAGCGCTGATGGATGTCGTTGCAGACGATTCCCCGCTTCTTGTCGCCATCTGATGGTCCTTCTCAGCACCTTGCCAAAACTTACTTCTGGCTCGGCAATCAGCTCTGCTCTGCGAAGTGTAACGCGGAGAACATGTTGCTCAAACCACCGGCCATCGAACCTGCAATTGAGAAGACCATACAGAACACACGGCACCGACGACATTAGTCGACCTCCCTTTGGGAAAGCCGCAGACAAGCGTTCACACCAAACTACACAATGTCATGTACTTCGAAGTAGTAGACAAGTCACTGAACGGCCTAGAGCTGTGATGCAAGCCAGCACAAATCGCACAATGAAAACGATCGCTTGATGACAGAGAGAATGAAGCATGTCAGCATAGCTCACCTCGCGATGTGTGCAGTTTCCGTGTCCGACACCTGGCTGAAGTCACGGAGAAATAGCCGGCGATTACTGCTTTCTTGCGCAACATACTGCCAAAATGGCTACACAAGCTACTGCTGAAAAGGACGAAAGTTCACATGATGGTATCGAGTATTGCAATCAAGTCCGTCTTTATCGCAACTTGGAGCTCCTCGGATCAACTGCTTGAAATAATTTACTGGATCTACTCATCACTACCGGTCATGGGCAGGGGCAACAAAGAACTACTGGCGGTAAGCAGACAAGGGGTTCTCTGGAGATTCAAGAATAAACTCTTTGTTTCGTTTTGCCCTACGCGGTCTGGAAACTCACTATAACTTGGAATCTTTTGTCACTTCGCCATAGGGACTCGTCAAGAACGGACTGAGCACATTGCCTGGACAGGAAAAAGGGTTTAGGACAAAACTGACCGTCTACAAACGGAAGCAGAATAAAGTGCTTCCACCTTCTCTGACCAAGACCGAAAAACTGCTCGTGCAAACTCTTCCGATGAGGAGTATGCGCAGCAGCTGCTGCTAAGGAGTTCGATTCTACTGTCCTGAGACGAGTAGAGAGTGTAGCCGGCCAGGAAGGCGCGAAACCGGTAACCATGACGATCACGCAGCTGCTGTTGCGCCGGCGCGGCGAGGCGCAACCCGTACACGTAGCTCTAGATGTACATGTATGTATGTATGTATGTAGCAGACTAGCGTCGCCACTAATGCCACTACTAGTACTAGTATTATCAAGAGTCCATAACCCGGGTTATGGACTCTTGGTATTAGTATCAAGAGTACATATGGGGTTATGTACTCTTGGTATCATCCTACAGCATGCACTCTGCAGCTGCATGCATCAGAGTTCACTGACCGGTACGCGGTACACGGTCATGACCGGTCATGACCTCTGATGTGACGACTGTACGTAGGCGTTCCCAAAATCGGCCGGTTTGCGCCTATTCGGCTGTTCGCTGGGCTCCAAGATACTTGGTCCGCATCAGCGATATTGTCGCTTATCTTTCAGCTTTGTTTATATGTCGCCAATGCTTACTTGGCCGCCCATTTCATCCCAATTTTGGTTAGCTAGTTAGTTTGCTAGTACCTGAAAGGTCTAGCTAGAGTTCGAGTGAATATCGAGAGCGACAGGTGGGTGATTCGGATTGATACAGCGCCGCATCAAAAAAGATTATCTTGTCACGCTGTGCAGGCAAGAGCAGCACAAGCCACAAGAAAGTAATCGGCTACTCGGAATCAGCTTGATTTTGCTGAACGCCCGAGATCGCTCACCGCAGGGATCGCTCATCAAGCTGAGATCGCAGCTCCCTTACCTCCAGCTCCTCGCTCGGAGTATCCAGCGCGTCGTGGAGATTTGCAAGTACATGTACTGTACGCGTCGTCGTCGTCGTCGTTCAAAATAAAATCTTGCAAAGAATGGCGTCTGATTTGAACCACACAGGCTGTCGTGCTGCCCAGGCGAAGTCCTAGAGAGAAGGCGACCGTCACGATCGACTTCTCTTTAGAAAATAGCCAGGCAGCGGAGAGGAAGAGAGATGAGCTTGCAAAAGCAAGAGAGTCGATCCCGAGCAAAATATTTGTCGCCAGCGCCGAAAGCAGCGACGAGGAGGACCGAAAAAAGTAGGAACCCTTCCTTGGACAATAAATTCCTCGCAGCTAGTTGTCATTCTATACCTTACCTTCCATCGTACCAAGATATATCACTTCAGGTGCACGCGTTCATGTCCAAAGTCTAAGTTCAAATTGTCGAAAGATAATCGACAATATTGCTGAAGCGGACCAAGTACATCAGATCATTTGGCTGCAAAATTAGCTACATGTAATTGTTCGAAAATCGGCTGCAAAATTGGAATTTATGGGAAAATCGGCTAAAAACATTCTCTCGGTCTCGCCGCTCCTGGCAGCGTCGCTGGGTCCGTCGAAATAACCTGTTTTCTCATGCATTTGTACTTTTGTTTGTCTTGACTGCTGGGTGGGTGGCGTACTGGGTTGGTGCTGTTCTAAGAATCAAGATCCAAAGGGACAAACACAGGTCGAACAGCTCGCCAGCCAGTGTTGTACATGTGGTCGCGCTTGTAGCTCTGTGTCGTACATGCGGTTGCGCGGGTGTCTCTTGTCGTACATGTGGCTGCGCTTGTGTCTCTTTTGTCGTACACGTGGCTGCGTATGTGTCGCTGTGTCGTACATGCTGCTGATCCGTGGTACACGCCGCTGCGCCGTCTTGGAATGCTTAGTACATGCCGCTGCACCGTCTTCTGTCCCCTCCGTATGCATTATTTATCATCTCGTCCCCGTTGCATACACATTTTCTCGTCTTGTCTCCGTTGTATTTGTCTGGTTGCCGTCTTGTGTCCGTCGTATTTCCCCGTCGTTCGTCTTTGTCTCCCGTCCTGTTCAGGCCTTGTTGTACTTTGCACAGGCACCTCTTTAGTATCCCTCACCCCACTTTTTCCCCTCTTTTCTCCACGTCCCCATAATATATTCTCTTGTCCGTTTTGTTGGAGCGCAGTTCTCCAGTCCCCTTACTGAAAGCAAGTTCGAGAAAACGCTCTCTCTCCCAGTGTGCACGAGTCTTTTGGTTGTTGTGTGGAGTGGCGAGGAGAGCCGCAGTTCGTCGAATTAAACTGACGACATTTGGCGCCCAACACATCGAATCCACGACCCTGAAGCTCGTCGACGCGTCGCCGTCAGCTCGTATTCTTCTTCTCCTCGCCGTACCTCCGTATCGATGACGTACTACGAACGACCAGGCCCCGCATTGGCGCGCCTCCTCAGGTGAGCACCCGGTCTTGCTAGTTTGCTTTGTGTGTCGTTTCTTGTCCAAGCGTGCATGGTATTGGGTCCCGGCTTAGGTCCGTGGTCCCTTCGATAGTTCATTGAGCGTATGTACCGTAATTTTAGAGGCCTACTTTCCAGTAGCTCCAGCCAGTCGGTCTAACAGTGCAATCTGTCTTTCGTAAATCTTGTGTCGTTGTACCTACTTGCCCTGCAGAATGCCGTGTTGTTAGAAAAAAAATTTTGAAAAAAAAAAAAATTGTTTGGCACTTTGAACAAAAAAAAATTAAATAAAAAATTACTGTTTCGTAACACCACCTGATCCGGGGTCTCGTACTGGTAGTGGTATACTCATTATGTCTCAGCCAGCCCAGAGTAAGGTCACTGTTGAGGGCGCGGGCAAGTGGCTCATGCCCAAGCCATTTGCGGGCTCATCAAGGGAGGACCTGCAGTCCTTCCTAAACGACTTTGTGCTATGCCTAGAAGCTAATGGGTATGTTCCAGTGGCGCAACCAAACGATACAGTGGATGCAGAGTCACGGCAAAAACTCGAGCTAATGGCCCGGGTTATCCTGTGTAAAAGCCTCACCGGCAGTGCTGCTTTGATGCTGCAGTCCCTGACCGCAACCGAACGCGGAGATAGAGGAACCATTGAGCAGGCATTGCAGGCTAGGTTTGGGGACCAGGGGAAGGAACTGTTACGCCAAACCGAGCTCCAAGCTCGCAAACGGCGGGTGGGCGAAACCCTAACGGAACTCGGGGACGCCATCCAAGTCTTAGTGGCAAAAGCCTACCCTGGGGCCCCCTCCACCATTGCGGACACGGTTTCAGTCCGGGCTTTTCTTGATGCATTAGACCCAGAAATGCGACGACGGGTGGGGGACCACGAACCAACAACCTTACTGAAAGCGGTCCAGAAAGCGGTAGTTCTGGAAACTCAGGATAGGCTTCACCCCGCTAGCGAGCCGGTCTTCGTAGCGGCCGCGGCACCTGAGGTAGAGTCTCGGCTCCATAGTCTCGAGAAATTGTGCGCCACCCAGACCCGTCTCCTGGAGACTTTGTGTGAAACCAGGGGTGATCCGGGGTCCTACCAGAGGGGTAAGGGTCCCCGTTGTTATGAATGCGGGAAGTTAGGGCATATTAGGGCCGAGTGCCGGCAGTGGCGGCCGCAGCCGCAAGGCCGCCGACAACCGTTTTCCACTAAGCGCCAGGCGCCCGAAAAGCCACAACAGGGGTCGGGTAGGCTCCCCCACCCTCAACAGGATTTAAACTAGGCGAGGCGGCTGGTGCGGGTCTTCCTGCCGCCTCGACCATGGAACCACAGCCAACTGATGAATGTGATGAGGAGTGTATTGCTGTGGCTTTGCCGATCTTTACCGATGATACCATGGAATTGTGTGACCCTTTCCTCCCTTTGTCTTTGGGGGAAACCGAGAATTTGGCAGCTTCGGCTGCGCCCGAGTGTCCGGACCTGTTGTCCCCGGCGCCTGAGGGTGGTATTGTTACGGTCCCAGATGTAGGATGTCCTGCTAATGCTGCCTCTGTGTCTGATGCGTGTGATGTGTGTGACATATGTGCCTTCGAGCATTCTCCGGCGGAGGCCCACCTCTGCACTCCACCTGCCGCTCCACTGCCCTCCCCTCCGTCTATTCCGGTCGAGTCCTCGGATGCCCTCCCGGTGGGTGCTGTCACGGCCGTCACCGATGCTGTACCCTTCTACATCCACCGTGCTGGCACCAGTCTCTTCGCGCCCGGTAAGTTGAGTACTGATGTGTGTAACTCGGTGGTATCATGTCTGGTCGACACGGGTGCGGCCATTACCTTGGTGAATTTTGCGGTAGTGCAGAAATTGCATGCGGAGCATCTATTACGACCCGCTTCAGAGTTGGGTGTGTCGGCACTGTACACTGCAGGCGGGGGTACCCTTGACATGAAGGGCTGTTTACCCCTGACATTTAAGTTTGGCAATATTTCGTTTTCCGCCCGTGTTTTAGCTGTCGCGGGGTTAACTGAGGAGTGTTTGTTGGGTGCCGACATTTTGGCAGCCCATGGGTTTTCGCTACACCTGGATGGGTCACCCCGTTTAAAGTTAGCAGGTAACACCGTCCCATTGTCTAGGGGACGGGGGGATGTAGTTCCGGTTCATGCCGCAAGGTTCGGCGGTGACGTGCAGAGCACGTTGTGGTTTGGGTTTTCGACCCTGTTGCTTTTAATAGCAAGTGGTTGCAGTTCAGCTCGGCTGATATTAGTGTGCAAACTCGCATTAGCTTTTAGTTTTATCATTGCGTTTATTGTTCGGGGTGGCATCACGTGGCCTGTGTATTCCCCTACCCCGGTGGTCCCTCCCAGGGTCTGCCCCCCTGCTGCTCCGCCGGAACTGGGCTACTCCATCTCCTTAGTGTCTGCTGTGGAAATTCCCCCATGGTCACAATTGCTGTTGCGGGGCGCAGTCAACGCCCCTCCCGAGATGATTGGTCTGGTAGAAGCTGTTGTTGATTCTGATTTGGGGTATGCCCTACCCCGTGCTGTGTGCGCTGTATCTCCTTCGGGTAGTGTCCCCTTGTGTGTAACCAATGTGTCTGATGTGCCGGTGTGGTTGGAGCGTGGTATGCATCTAGGGCAGTTCCTACCGGTGGAGGACCCTCGGCCGGATGTCTCAACAGACGAGGGTGTGGCAGTGGGCGTGCAGTCAGCGACGTCCGATTCAACACCAGCGGATCGCTTTGATCTCTCTCGGTTTGCTGGCACTGCGGAACAACGCCAAGCTCTGGTCAGTTTACTGAACGGTTTTAATGATGTCATAGCCGTAGATGATTGTGATGTGGGAGAGACCCCCCTCTTGACTCATTGCATCGACA